ATGAACGAACACGAGCTGAGCTCTAGTTCTTAACAAGTCGAACTCAAATATGACAAGTTCGGCTCAATTCGACTCATTTATAGCTCTACAGCGGATCAGACCGGGCATAGCCATAGTCAAGTTGCTGCATAGGAGCAGGGGCGGATGTATATGGGGGCAAGGTGGGGCTCTAACCCCCCCTCCCCCTCACCCCACCCCCTTATAATTTTTAATTTTTAATTTTTATTTTATAATATATAATATAAAAAATAATAAATAAATTAAAAAATTGCAAAAAAATTGATAGAATATTTATGTGAAAATTTAAATTTTGAATAATAAAAAAAATTATATCATAATAATTTTTTGATAATATAAAAATAGATATGAACAAAAAAGTAATAAATAATAATTAAAAAAAAATCTTCAAAAATTTCTCAACCAAATACAAAGGAAATGATATTTTTAATAGCTTTTTTTTTTAAAATAAATGTTTTTATTATTTATCAATTTCATATAATACAAAATTCATCTTGTAATATGCAGTTGTCAATGTAGATTGATATTTTGCAAGATTTTCGAAATATGATAACTCTATTGATAAAATTATTGGATAATAAATAGATGATGATCGTTTCAAAATTTTAAAAATTAGCCCTCCTTTCATCCTGGTCTGGTTCCGCCTCTCCATAGGAGGGGCTGCCCCCAACTAGTTGGAGGTCGTGTTTGGTAGCCTTGCTGATTATATCCTCCGGTCATTGAAGAAGGAATTTTCATCTGATTCTGCACAAAAGGCAATAACATAACAAACAAGAACATACAATATATATATATATATATGCACATAACAAACAGTTCACACTAGTATAATCCATTAGAGTAAATGTGAGAGGTTGTACACATATATGTATGTTGCTGTAATCAAACCATTTTGTCCCCGAGAGATTTTATATTTGTGGATTATATATTTAGTCCACATAAGGTTAGGTTGAATCCATTTTGGACCCTCTAATAGAATATTCATATTAAAAGTGATAAAAACCTAAATAATAAAAATTTGTTATAAACCACGTCGACAGAATGTGGATGCTTTATGATCATTCATTTACCGACTCACGCGTCTATAAATAGGTGTGTGCTTTAGGCAATGAAAATGCAATTTACAATCATTTCTCTTGTCTCTCTCTCTTTCTGCATTAATTGTCCCTTTCCCTTATCTCTCTCTGCATTAATTGTTTGCTTTTAAATACATTCAATATAATACAATTACTACTCATACACATATATTTATATACATATAAACACACATCCGTACACACACATACATATAATATATATATATATTTACCTCCACTATAATATATTATTATATATTAAATAATAAAATTTTTACTTTTTACAATACTCAGACGGAGAGTAATTAAAAATACACACATCACTGTCCACACATAGGCTTTTGTATGCAACATTCCCAAAAATGGTAAATAATCTCTTGTTACTAAGGTAAATAAACTCTAGCAGTCCATATTATGAAATCTCTCATATTCACTTCAATTATGAAAAATAAAAAATCTTGCTTATATTCATTAAAGTCCAACAAAATTTAACTTAAGAAATCGACAGACTTGATGATAAGATATGTAGAAATTTGGAGTTTTGAAGTTTTGAAAAAATTTGGATTTAAATCTTTTTTAAAAAAAGTTATATTTGAGTTGAAATGTGTTTAGATAGAAAATTTGGAAATATTTTAGATAATTTTTTAATTGAAATATTATATAATAAATAGTATAATGATGATGTGGAAATAAAATAGTATTATTTTAATATATTGGATAAAAAAGAAATTAAATTTAGTTTTATAAATACATTAATAAAAATATAATTAATATGTATTATTTTATAGAGAATAAAATTTTATATAAAAAAATATATTATATTATTATTACTATAAAATAAATTAAAATAACATATGTAATATATATTTATATAATTATATTTTATATAATATAGTATACTTCCTCCGTCAGCCTCTAACGGTAATATTTATTTTTTGTGTCATTGTATTTAATATTAAAAATATCATTGTATTTGTATAATTTTTTATACAAATATCCTTCTTTTACTATTATAAGACACTAATTGAAATATTTTTTTAATTTTTTTTTAATTTATACTATATTTTAATATAATAATTAATATTCAATGATCAATACTTTAAAAAAATAAATAAGATTCTTAAAATCGAACAGAAATAATATTAAGGGTATGTTTGTTTGGGGGTTTGGATTTTGGATTGGGATTTGAATAGTAAAAATTTTGAATTTGAATAGTTGTATGATGTGATATAAATAGAGTTTGATGTGATGTTTTGAATGTAAAATTGATTTTTAGTATAATATAAAAAATGAAAAATAGGTGTTTGATTTGATTTTTTTTGGGGGAAAAAATTGGATGAATAGTGGAAATCCTCCAAAATCCTTCAAACAAACACACCCTAAATATATTGTTAGTGGTGGGCGTCAATTATTTGAATGAGACCCACCTCATAAATGCAATGATGGAGATTCGGACCTAAGTGGGAAATAATTTTGACAGCCAAAATATACAGTGCCAATGGTTGAAAATTTGATTGTGTAAACGCAGCCCACATTTTTGAACAAGAAATTTAATAGTAGTATGGAATGTCCGTACCCAATCCTGAGGACGTATTTGTGTGTTGGATTTTGATAAAATCCTACTATTCATCCAAAATTTCTCTCCCAAAAATATCAAATCAAACATTTATTTTTTATTTTTTATATTATACTAAAAATCAATTTTACATTCAAAATATCACATCAACACCTATTTATATCACATCATACAACTATTCAAATTCAAAATTTTTACTATTCAAATCCCAACTCAAAATCCAAACTCCCAAACAAACACACAATTAAGTTTATGTAGCTATTAGGACAGCAAGCAATATATATAAATATATATATATATATATATTAGGATATATATATATATATATTACTAGTCCAAACATTTTGCTATGTAGTATGTATTATATGTTAGATTTGAGATCAAATATGTGTATCGAATATATCGTTAAAGTCATTATTTTATTCAGTCATATTATTTTAAGTGGTCTAATTGATATAATTAATTATTGACTGATAGACTTTATTATTATGGAATGAAAGTACAACTACTCGTATAATATTATTATTTTGGTGACGTGACAAATTAATAATATTAATTAAGGGTATAATTGTAATTACAATTATGTTTGCCCTATTATAAATAGGCTAGGGTTAGCTTCCCGGGATCAGCGCGCCGTAAAAGAGCTTTGATTCTCCCTGCAGTTTCTGCTCCTCATCCGTTAAAAACACAAAGGAAGCCGGCACCCTAATCTTGGAAGACCAAACTTTTGATCACCCAAGATTCGTATATGGCTTCATTTTCAGGTACGCTTCCGCTTTAAGGATCGGACATTTAAATTCAACAATTGGTATCAGAGCATGTTGAATTATTTTTTTGTGCTATTGGATTAATCGGTATTTAATCAAGATTTTATTAAATTTTCTTGTTCTTGAAAAATTTCGTTGTTGCTGGTATGTTAATTACAAAATCTTGATTACGTATTTGATCGACTAATCTGATCTCTATCACCCAAACCAATTTATTAATCTTCCGATTAATCTGAATACTAAACATCTTCAGATGTATGCTTGAATGTCCTTTATTATTCCATTGGAATTCGGGTGTATATTTGGTTGCTAATTATTTATTAGTAATTATCATTAGAAATCTTTAGTCTGACTTTGTGTGCATGTTTAATGCAATAAATTGATTGAAGTTTCATTTTATAATGCATAAATTGTACGTGTTTGCTTACATATATCTTCAGTCTTCAACCGAAGTTAGGATTCCACTCCATGCATTAGACAGTTTATTTATTTATTTATTTATTTTTCGTTCGATCTTCAGTTAATATCTTGCATAAATCTTGATTTCCTTTCGATCCAATTAATCTTCTAATCTTTGATTAGCTTGATGATTAGTTAAAGAAAGATATGCATGGTTCCCTTCTTTCTTTTTTTTTTTTTGTGTGTGAACCTGATCGACCACCAGTACATTGAATGCGTGTGATATACACATCTATCTTTAAGCAAAATCTTGATTGGGCACTGTACGAATTTTGCACATATCATATATGCATTATAATGTATTGAATAAAATTAAATTGTTGTGGAACAAGGCTCTACGTACCTTGATATATGCCTATGCATATATATATTAATTAATATGTGATAGAAATTATAATCATGTTTGTCTTCTTGTACGAATGATATGTAATATTTTATAGAAACAACATGTATATTTATTCATTTATCATGACTGTTTTAAATAATTTATGAAATTGATACATGTATCTTTAGAAATATATTTTGCTTATATTGCAAATATTTTCAATCTTAAGAATTAGAAACTCATCAATAATGCTTGCTGCGTTTTGACGGTGAAAATCTAGTATTTGAAGTTGCCAAAGTAACATCTCTTATATGAAATTTTTTCTTGATAAAGTAAATGTTGACATGTGTATTTTAACTCATGTGATTATTCTTCGGCCCAAAGGCAGTCGATAATTGACAGAATAAAATATACATCTGCGATAATATGTATGAGACAATTATATAGATTTAACTTATGTGAATAGTAAATCAGTCCAAAGATTGGTTACTGTTTGACATTACCTTATTATCCGTATATGATTATTGCAACAAGATGACTGCTTGCAGTTAATGTCATTGATCCAAATATTAAACATTAATGTTGTGTTTAGTGTCTTGAGATGGGATTGCATTATTTTATTTTGAGTTTCATTATGCTACTTGAGTACTTATGTGTATATTTATTCCTTGTTATCTTCAGGATCGAATCTTTTAGTATATTCTACCTATTCAGTCCCAATACTGTCTAGGGACAACTATCAGCACTAGAAAGAATCAATATTGATTCATTTGGGCTGTATGGATCTAGACTTGGCATTAAGGATAGACCAACCCCCTTCTCCTACGAAAGAAAGCACTGTAGATGAAAAACAGTTGTTTGAGAAGTGGGATAGGTCTAATCGCCTTAGTCTAATGATCATAAAGAAAAACATTCCAGAAATCTTTAGGGGCACGATATCTGATGATATCATTACTGCCAATGATTTCCTTGTCGAAATTGAGAAACGCTTTACCAAAAGTGATAAGGCGGAAATGAGTACTCTTCTCAAGAGTCTCATTACCATGAAGTATAACGGCAAAGGAAACATAAGGGAATACATCCTGAACATGTCTAATACTGCTTCTAAGTTAAGAGCACTTAAGTTAGACCTTTCGGAGGACATGCTAGTCCTATTGATTTTGCTCTCACTTCCTACTAAATACGATCAGTTCAAAGTTAGTTATAACTGTCAAAATGAGAAGTGGATTCTTAATGAGCTCATCTCTCACTATGTTAAGGAAGAAGAAAGGATGAAGCGTAATAAGACTGAAGAGGTACATGTGGTAAGTACCTCAAAGGATGCAGGCGGCAAGAAGAGAAAATATAAGGCCGTTAAGGTTGAGACTGCTAAGGCTCATGTTCCAGCTCCAGCTCCTCGGGCTCGTCCTGAAAAGACTTGCTTCTTTTGCAAGAAACCTGAACATAAGAAAAAGAATTGTACTAAGTTTCACGATTGGCGCGTGAAGAAGGGTACGTTTCTTGTTTTGGTTTGTTCTGAGGTTAATTTAGCTTCAATACCTCGAAACACTTGGTGGTTAGACTTTGGATCAACTACGAACATCAGCGTTTCAATGCAGGGTTGCCTGAGCTATCCAAACTCAACTGATGCTGAAAGACGCATTTACTTTGGAAATGGGGATTCAGTAGAGGTGGAAGCCGTGGGCATTTTCAAGTTGTTATTGAGTACTGGACATTTTCTTGAATTGCAAGACACTTTTATTATACTGTCATTTAGACGGAATTTGATTTTTGTTTCTTATTTGGACAAATTTGGTTATCATTATTCCTTTGGAAACAATAAAGTTAAGTTGTCTTTTAATTCATGTTTGGTTGGTTTTGGTACTTTTATGGTGAATGACTATTTATATATGCTCGATATTTTAGTTTCCTATAATGAGGCACTTAATACGGAATCAAAAAGGTACTAAGCAAAAATTGCATGACTCTAGTTTATTGTGACACAAACGTTTAGGTCATATTTCAAGAAACAGAGTTGAAAGACTCATTAAGGATGGAATCCTTGATTCCGTAAATTTTTCAGAGTTTGACGTTTGTGTCGATTGCATTAAGGGTAAACAAACCAAGGTTAAAAGGATAGGTGCTTATCGAGCTACGGATGTCTTAAAATTGATACATACAGACATTTGTGGGCCTTTTCCCACTCCTTCATGGAACGATCAACAATATTTTGTGTCATTCATAGACGATTATTCTCGATATGGTCATCTGTACCTTATTAAGGAAAAATCTGAGGCATTGGACATGTTCAAAGGATTTAAGACTGAAATTGAAAATCATTTGAGCAAACGCATTAAGACTGTCAGATCTGACCATGGAGGAGAATATTACGGCAGAAATGATGGCTCAGGTGAACAACGTCCATGTCCTTTTGCTAACTTCCTTAAGGAGTGTGGAATCGTCCCTCAATACACCATGCCCGGTTCACCTAGCATGAACGGTGTTGCTGAGAGACAAAACCTCACATTGAAGGATATGGTTCGAAGTACGATTAGTCAATCTACTTTGCCACCATCATTATGGGGAGAAGCATTAAAGACAGCAGTCTACATCCTTAATCGAGTGCCTACTAAGGCGAATGCCAAAACACCCTATGAACTCTGGATTGGGCGCAAGCCTAGCTTAAATCATCTTAGGGTATGGGGTTGTCCAGCTGAGGTGAAGGCCTATAGGCCAAATGAACCAAAGCTAGCACATTGTACAGTGAACAGTTATTTTATTGGCTATTTGGAATGGGCAAGGGGGTATAAATTTTATGATCCCACATCAAGAACTGTTTTTGAGACGGTTATTGCCAAGTTCTTTGAGGATGTTGATTTTAGGGGGAGAAATACAGTTTTAGACTTTACTTTTGAGGATCAAGAAATCACTGATGTGATTGATCAAGCACCTCATGAGTTAGCAGTCATTCCAGCTCCCATAGCTTTTCAAAGTGCGACTGAGGAACCCGTTCGTATAGAACAGGAACCTATGCCTATGGAACAAACTCAACAAACTCAAGAACATACAGTTTAAGAGCCAACGCAATTGCGTAGATCCACTAGAGAGCGAAGAAATGTCATTCCAGAAGATTACGTGACATTTCTTGAAGAAAGTGAGGACAATGATGGCATGACTGAGGATGATCCAATTAATATTTATCATGCCATGAAGGGTCCTTATTCAGATAAATGGATCGATGCGATGCGTGATGAGTACAAGTCAATGCAAGACAATAAAGTTTGGGAACTTGTCCCATTGCCAGAAGGTGCAAAACCCGTAGGTTGCAAATGGATCTTTAAAACCAAACGGGATGAAAATGGTAATATGGAGAGGTATAAGGCACGTCTTGTAGCTAAAGGCTATACTCAGAAAAAGGGGATTGATTATAAAGATACTTTTTCTCCGGTTTTTTCGAAGGACTCTTTTAGGACAATCATGGTTCTTGTGGCATACTTTGATTTAGAGCTCCATCAAATGGATGTTAAGACGGCGTTTCTAAATGGTGACATTGATGAAATGATCTACATGGTACAACCATAAACTTTTGAGGTCGGTGACGCAAAGCAAATGGTTTGTAAATTAAAAAAATCCATCTATGGGCTCAAACAAGCGTCTCGACAGTGGTATCACAAGTTTCATCAAGTAATTCTCTCATATGGTTTTGAGATGAATGTGGTTGATAAGTTTATTTTCTTGGTTTTGTATGTGGATGACATTTTTTTGCCACAAATAATGTGAGCATGTTGCACGAAACTAAGAAATTTCTCTCGAGTAACTTTGAAATGGAAGATCTTGGTGAAGCATCTTTTTTATTAGGGATCCAAATATATCGTGATAGATCTCGGTGTGTTCTTGGATTATTTCAAAAGAACTATATTGATAAAAATACTCGAGCGATTCAGCATGCAGAAATGCAAGCCGGGAGATACCCCTATAGCTAAAGGAGAAAAATTAAGTCTCAGCTAATGCCCTAAAGTAAATCTGGAAATTGAGGAGATGAAAAAGATCCCCTATGCCTCGGCAGTTGGGAGTCTCAAGTATGCACAAGTATGTACGCGTCCAGATATTGCGTACATAGTTGGTGTGTTAGGCAGATACCTCAGTAATCTTGGATTGGATCACTAGAAGGCAGCCAAGAGGGTGATGAGATACCTGAAGAGAACTAGTAATCACATACTCACATATAAGAGGTCAGACCAATTGGAGATCATTGGATACTCTGACTCCGACTTTGCAGGATGCCAAGATAGTAGGAAATCTACATCTGGCTATGTTTATATGTTGGCTGGTGGGGCCATCGCTTGGCGCAGTGCCAAACAGACACTCGTTACCAGTTCCACTATGGAAGCTGAGTTCGTGGCATGTTTTGAGGCATCACAGCAAGCGATTTGGCTAAAGAACTTTTTCGTTGGGCTGCGAATCATTCTGATGGTTGAAAAACCCATCAAGATTTTCTGTGACAATAATTCAGCCGTTGAATACTCCAATAAAAATAGTAGCCCGTCCAGGTCAAAGCATTTTGACATTAAGTTCATAGTTGTGAAACAGAGAGTGAAAGATCATCAGATTTTGATCGAGCACTTAGGAACATGATCCATATTAGCAGACCCCCTAACTAAAGGTCTAACACCTAAGGTCTTCCATGAGCATACTGCTCATATGGGTGTGTTACAATTTGAGGAAGCTTCACTGTAGTGGGAGTATGCATTTATATTCTTTTGTCGTTCTCATGATATTTGTTTTATACTATTTTGATCATTATTTTAGTTATGATGTTTTTGACATTATGTTTAAGTAATTTACGATCTCATTCAGTTTGGACCAGTAGAAAATTGACATATTCAAATCACATTTATGTAATTTTCTCTCTACACGTTCCATGATTGATCTATGTCATTTGACTACACTGATATCCGTGAATACTGTGAGTTTAGCTGTTGGTACGGAGAATGCTTCTTTAGTTCTATATTGTTGTGGTTGATGGACCAGATTGTTGCAAGCTTTGTTTTATAATGACTGAAAATTGAGCTCATACTCATAAGGAACAATATGTTCATTCAGACACATACTAGATCCAGTGAGAGATTGTTGGATTTTGGATCAAATATGTGTATCGAATATATTGTTAAAGTCATTATTTTATTTAGTCATATTATTTTAAGTAGTCTAATTGATATAATTAATTATTGACTGATAGGCTTTATTGTTATGGAATGAGATTGCAGCTACCCGTATAATATTATTATTTTTGTGACGTGACAAATTAATAATATTAATTAAGGGCATAATTGTAATTACAATTATGTTTGCCCTATTATAAATAGGCTAGGGTTAGGTCCTCGGGATCAGCGCGCCGTAAAAGAGATCTGATTCTCCCTGCAGTTTCTACTCCTCACCCGTCAAGGACAGAAAGAAAGCTGGCATCTTGGAACATTTAAATTCAACATTATATTTAAGTTTAGTTGTTATAAATATATATATATTTTATAACGTGGGAATCTGCAGTCGCTATCTTTCGGGTGTGCTCTGGGTAAACTCCGGCCGACCCTAATAGTTTGCAAATCAAGCCCGACAAGGCAAGTCACACTAAGCGAACCATGTGTGGCAGAGAAAAGCTGAAGGCATCGGGGTTTGAACCCATGACTTCACGATTAGGAGTCCATCCCTATACCATCAAATCATCATTTACGGAACTTTATAATAATGGGGGGTTTGCTTTGGGTATTTTTTATATTTTTTTTTTTATATTTTTACTATTCATCAAATTCTTCCTCTTTTCTCCCAAACATCAAGTTAAATATTTATTTTTCAACTTTTATATTATAATAAAAATTAATTTTATATTTAAAATATCAAATCAATACTTATTCATATCATATCACAAAATTATTCAAATTCAAAATTTTTACTATTCAAAACTTAACAAAAACTCAAATTCCAAACAAACACAAAAAAAAAAATGCCAAGAACTATTCTTTGCTAAGAAAACACTTTCTCTCTATTCCACACGGAGGGAAAGATTTAAGAAAATAACATTAATATTATTTTTTTTTGGACTAATTATTTCATTTTATTTGAGCACAAAGATTAAAAAATAATAATATTTTAAAATAAAAATAAAATAGATAAAAAAAATAAAGTGAAGGTATTATATAAAATTTATTAAATAGTTAATAAAAATATGATGTGATAAATAAAAAAAATGATGACAAATTAATTATTATTTGTTAAAATACAAATAATAAAATTACGAATGAATAAAGTTGTTTTTGTGTATAAGTTTTAGGGACAAAAAAAAAACTAACATAATTATAGCGAACAATAAAACAAACAAAAAGTTCTTGAACTCAGCTCGGTTTGGTTCATTTAAGTTCATTAAAGAGCTCTTCGTTAAGCTAAACGAGCCAATCACGAACATAAATTTTGGCTCGTTATATTCATGAAAGAGCTCGAACTTGTTCGCTAACGTTTGACAGTATTTATTAAAAAATAAATTAATATTTTTATATTCAATAATTATATGTATTTATAAATATTATATTATATTTTATTCTATTTTATTTGAATTTATTAATATAAAATAGGCATTGTTCTACCAATAAATTTTCCAATTGCGATTTTTCAAAAATAATACTAAACAATACAATTTTTTTTTTTACAAAAATCAAAAAGTCAAAATAAATTTCAAATACTCATTACAAAAAATCAAATATTCAATTTAAAATAATATATTTTATACTTTTGACACAATTTTTCATACTACACACTAAAAATTAATTCATTTAAAAACACTGCGTAAATGGTAATTATTATTGTTTGAATTTAATTTTTTTTAAAAAATAAATAAATTAAATAAAAAATCTTTTAACGAGCCGAGTTGAACCAAACGCGAACAAAAAAAAATTGCTAAATGAATAGAACTCAAACAAAAATTTCAGCTTATATTACTTAAAGAACGAACACGAGTCAAACTCGAGTTCTTAACGAACTGAACTCAAACATAACAAGTTCGGCTCGTTTACAACTCTAAAATAGAGGGAGTATTTATTATATTAAATATTATATATAATAATTATTATATTTTATGTATTTTTAATTAGTAAAATTTTAAATTTATATTATAACAATTTAATATTAAATATTATACTATAAATTAATTATATTTTTATAAATACAATTTATAATGAATTTATATATTTTACTAATAATTTATAAAATATAATTATATTAATTAAATGTAAAATATCACTATATCCATCATGTTTAAGGATTACATATTTTTATTTTCGTCCGTCTAATTCAAATGGTCATAAGTGTAAATTCCACAACAAAATATATACTTTTTTTTACACTTATTTACGATTGTACACTCACTTCATTATACACTCTATTTCTAAAATAACAATTATAAATAATTTTATTATTACATCTACTATAAAAATAAAATAAAATAAAATAAAATAATTAACACAATTAAAATACTCATTACATTACATTACATAATTAAAATACACATTAAATACATTACATAATTAAAATACACTATCACTAATTAACAAAAAAAACAAAAAAGAAAAAAAATACATTAAAGTCACCCACCAAAACCTTAATTTCACCCCACCTTGACAAACAATCCAACCCCCTCTATTCGATGGCCTCTCCACCGATTCACGGCAGTTCTGAGGTTGATGAGTCCAGGTCTTGATAATCTCTCCCCATCTAATTTCACCCATCCCTAACAAACAATTCAACCTTAATTTGTGTGTAATATGTGTCATATTTAATAGCTAGATTTTCATGGATAAAATAAACGAATGTAAATGAGTCAGTGGAATATATATATATATTATGAAATGACAAAAGAAATGTACGTGATCATACTTGTTTATTTATTCAGATTTTTGACTCGTTGGTACTTGATCTTAAGGGATTTACAAAAAGACTTCAATGATACTCAGATTCAAAACAATATAAGCAAGAAAAACTACTGTCACTAGACATTTTTTAGATCCGATAGATAAGCGTCTATGTCC